GTAAAGGTATGTTTTTGGAGTTTTGAAAAATGCAGGCAGAGGCACATTTTTCCAATGAGCCCATGATGAGAAATACTGTCATCATCACAACACATGAATATAAAGGTGCATATAAAGATGCACAAGGTGGAAAGGAGGCAGTAGGAAGCTTTTGAAGGTACAGTGCTGGCCTCTTAAACCTGGATTAGCAAGTCTATGCTGTCAAATGAATCTGAAAAGTTCTGTGGGAGGGTAAAAATGGTTAATGACAAGTGAGTATAAAAATGTCACACGGATACCTTTAACTGACGAGAACTGGACTACCATCACTCTGCTGTGTAGTAGTTTGCAGGAAAAAAGGATGTGGGCTGTGCTATGGCGGCCCACTGGACAGAAACCATAACACTAATTATTTGTCATTGCTGGAGAAACTCCAAACTCCTGGTAGTGCAAGCGACAAGTACCCCATAGCCTGGCTCCCCTCGTGTTTCTATTGGCAAACAAGAAAGACGCAAAACAAGGTAGCAAAAAACTGTGGTTCCATGAAGAATCTTTATCAGCAGATATACATTTTTGCAGACTTGTGGGTATAGGAGTAACATGGGAATGACCTGTTCTTACTCATCAGTTATGTTCCATTCACAATGTATTTCTTTGAACGACAGATACAGACTCGGTATCACTGAAGCTAAGCGACCACAACAGAATCAGGCATTTTCAAAGGTCTTCAGAGTGTTTCAGTGGACAGTGATATAACAACACACTGTATGTCTTTAGGAACAACCTTGAAACATGAGATATGAACTTTAAGCTTTGTGCTCAGCATATAAACAAATATAGATGGCTGTGAGATGCTATCCTTTGTCTCTCAAGGTCACATATGTCCTTGATGAAGTAGGCCTCCACATGGAGGTCATGGAATCAGCACTGGAGCAAACGAATGGTCAGCACTACTGAAGGACAGCATACAGCCTTACTGATGGGAAACACTTGCCACTTTTAGTGTCTTTAAGACTTAGGTTCTTTTAATTCAATGTGCTTTTCCTGATTTGAAGTGGAAATTCCATCAAATGGAATCGCAATCGTAAAATATCAACTTAAGGTTCAACCAATGTTGTGAGTTTGAGGTGAAAAATGACATATAAGCGGGGTGTTTGGAAATGTTTTGCAGTTCTGTTTGATGCTGTAGAGGCATTATCCTTCAGAATACTGGCAATGACAGAACAAATTATAACTTATTTTAAATATTTGTTTAAATAAATATATAAATAAGAATATTGCATAGTGGTGCATATCTGGATAAAGATGCATTTGTGTTTTATGGTCTTATTTTTGATCATGGGGTTGAACTGAAAATGGAAATGGATTTACATATTATAATATTCTGCATGCAGCAAATGTATGAGCACTTTTAAACCATTTAGCTCTTTTTTTCCCCACTGTTGCTCTTGCACTCCTAACACAGTAGGGAGAAGGACTTTTCATGTTTTGATAGCCTGGTTGTGCTCATTAAGAATGTGCCCTGATGAATTGTATTGTTTTTGACCAGACAGCTCTTTGTTTTGATTTTGTTTATGTTGTATTATGACCCGATCAGCTCTCTCTGTGGCACATCCTTGTTAATATTCGCTAATGAGATAATTGTTAAAGGCAATGCAGCTCTGTCTCTGCTGCATTTCTTCTCTCAGATGCAACTCAATTAAATATGCATATAGTCCACTAAGCTAACCAAAACCAAAGCAGTTATCAAAAATACTGAAGCTACGAAATACAAAAAATTACTAAATAGCTATTTAGCTATTGGCCTGCACGGCCTTGGTGATGTCAGTTGAAAATATGTTTTGGTTTCTCTTCAGGTGCAGCAAGTTATTATATTCTAATAAAAGACTAAAATGCTGTGTAGAATAAGAGCAGACACTTGTGTTGTTAAGAATGTCCAAAGTGTCAATATTTTAAAGCGTGATAAATAAAAAAATATATCTAGAACATCATTATAGACTTTCTCACTTCTATCTTATTCTTAACATTAACGCAACATTATTCTGTAACATTTTCTCTTGACATTAGAAGTTTATTGTGATTGCAAAGAAAGGAAAAAAAACTAATATGAGTCAGGACATTAAGAGCTAATTAGCCTTCCCTCATTCCCTCAAAAAAAGCAAGAGCTTACAAACAACATTACATACTACACTGAAATAATGGTAACCTATAAATTATGTGGATTAATTGGTTTTATTCATGTCAGAAATATTACTTGACATCACTGAGCGCACCTAAATAAATGAATTATACCAACAAAACTCATTTCATGCATTAAATCAGGTAGAAATAGCTCTTTAAGATAACAAGTTACCACGTTTTACAGTGTACATGTTCTCCTTAGAAATGTTATTATTTCACTAAAATGCATTTCCATTTAAATATCTGCATGTAAATGTATCAAACGATTTGAAATAAAAGCAGCATTTGTTAGAAATAAATATAAAACGTCTATCCAGACGTGGAGTGAATTGTGTGTGAGAGTGAGAGAAGGGCAGCTGAAATCACAGAGGACGGTGGGACAGTGGCTGAGAGCCAGATGTTGTCACAGACAGCTGCTTCCTAATGCAGGGATGGAGAATGTGATGACACATACAAAAGACAGTAGCGCTCGTTCAGTTTTCCCATCTCCCCATCATCCAACATCATCTCTGCGCAAGAAGAGGAGACCTCACTTGTCCTACACGGCTATGGATATGATATAATAACGTAGAGGACGCAGATACACAAACCTGTGCCACTTACACACCCACAAGAATAATATCTCAACAGAACTAAGAGAAATGCAATCTACCGCACTATTTTTATGCACACACACAACATCCAAGCGCTCAGCAGTGAATATCAGTGTATAATGAGAAACAAACCAACATGAACAATAACAGCAATAACAAGTGTAACATATATGTGACCCTGGACCACAAAACCAGTCATAAGGGTCAATTTTTCGAAAAGCTGAATAAATAAGCTTTATAAATAAGCTGAATAAATAAGCTTTCCATTGATGTATGGTTTGTTAGGATAGGACAATATTTGGCCGAGATACAACTATCTGAAAATCTGGAATCTGAGGGTGCAAAAATATCAAAACATTGAGAAAATCGCCTTTAAAGTTATCCAAATGAAATTCTTAGCAATGCATATCACTAATAAAAAATTAAGGTTTATTATATTTACAGTAGGAAATTTACAAAATATCTTCATGGAACATGATCTTTAATTAATATCTTAATGATTTTTGGCATAAAAGAAAAATCTATAATTTTTACCCATACGATGTATTTTTGGCTATTGCTACAAATATACCCCAGTGACTTAAGACTGGTTTTGTGGTCCAGGGTCACATATGTGCATCTCTGCCAGTTAAAATTGCTGTTAATATTTTTAACAATCCCATGGCAAATAAATGTCTAGTTAAATGAAAAAGTGGAAGATATGATACGATTCTAGAGAAGGCATATTCTTTGCGATATTTAAAAACATGCAAACATTCTGCAGTTATGTGTTCGCAACACCAACAAACTCTATAGGGTAAATACACACAGGCTGCTTTCTTACACAATCATGTGCAAAATGCGTTCTAACAATTAAAGCGCAAAAGCTGTGAATGTTTGTTTGCAGGCTTCAAATAATTCCCTTGTGGCACGAAGCGTACTTACCCATTTCGCTAATTGCAAACCATGCACAGTATAATGATAAACTAAATTTGGAAAATCTCTCCATTATGTTACATTAGTTCCACAGTTTAAGGCAGCATCTGAGGAAAGCAGTTATGGAAACAGGACTTGAAGGCTAAATTTTGCTGGTGTGTGTGATTATGTGATGCGTTTTCAGTTTGTGCTGGTGTCCTGGAGTGAGAAAAACAGCTTATTACATCACATAATTAAAGGAAGCCCTGGGCTATGCAATGGGAATCCCTGAGGTGCACTTGACATTATTTGATTGTATTGATTGAGACTGGAATAGGAGCCCATCAGACAGGCCTCACCCCAGAGAGCAACAGCCTTTGATACTAATCTGCTGATGTTTTTTTTTTTGTTTTTTTTTATATTTCCTCTCGCAGAGAAATTTCCTCTTTCATTGTTGACCATAATAAGACTGACGCAAACATGTTCGCTCCTATTAAAACTACAACTCTATTAAGAAAGCGCCTGTGACTCAGTTCTGGGAGGTGATGCTGAGCTTGGATGGCCTTCCTCAAAGCATTCATTAAATGGTTACTAATAGCAACATGCAAGAGAACATCTATGCAGTGAAAGCCTACACTAAATCATGTCTAACTTTTTCTATGATGCCTAAAATATTAATCATAGCAAATGTCACAATAGCACAGTGCAAAACTGAAATGCACAGTTGCCTAATACACACTCTGTATCCTACTTGTCAGTATTCTCTGCACTGAAAGACAAAAAAAATGGTAACCTAAAATGGTAACATATGTATTATATGGTTTTATTCAAGTCAAAAATATGAATTAAAATGACTGATACATTAGGTTAATCAGACAGAAATAGCCTTTTCAAGGTAACAATTGCAGGTTACCAATGTTTACAATGTGTGACTTTTAGTGTAACCTGAACACTAGAATAGAATAGAATAGAATGTATCACCTTAGGCAAGAACGGAACAAAATATGTCATTGCAATACTTCACAGCCAAGATTGTCCTCCTCATGAAACATTCAGAAACAATATGAAACAAGATAATATGCAACAACAAGAGAAGATGCAATATGCAACAGCAAATTGTACAGGGGTTTTGCATCACAACCTGTACGCAACTTTTGCATGTGTGATTGGGGCTCAAAAAGTTCTGTGTTTGGAAAAGTAGCGTTCTCTACTTTTAAGTTAAGGTAAGATAGCATCTCTCATTCAACATCCAAGCTTTAGATGAAATGTTACTGCAACACTAAAACAACAGCAAGCGCTTCGCGGCGAAAACGGAAAAAGGCGCCCTGTAAATGTGTTTTAAAAGGCTCTTACCGAATCTTAACACATGTGGCATCCCGTGAGAATATCCCACACACAGTAAGAGCAGCAACAGCCCAAGCCATCTCTGATGAGTTACCAGAGGAGAGCACATCTTCACGATGCCTGCGATACACTGCATGTCATTCCCCTGGATGGATCGTAAGATTCCCACTTATTTCTGCTTTGGAGGTGTTTTTTGTCAGCGATGTGATCACGGCATGGTCACTGAGACAGAAGAGGACACTCCATATCAGCGATGCTCCGCATGTCCGTCTCACTGCGCAAAGGAGCAACCTTCCGACCGGGCGTCCATGTTAGAGATGGGAAATCCAGGAGAAATCCATGTACGGGTGGCCTGAAAGAGCGGAGCAATACGAGAATGAGTGATGAGAGCTAGTGTAGCGGATAACTTGACGTGCAGAAGGCAGGAGCGGCAGCGATGAGAGCAGACTGCTCATGTAATGCTGTCTACTGCACTGCTGCACTCACACTGACGTCGCGCCGAGAGCAACGCGAGCGCAACACTGACCGCTCACAACATCCATGTCCTACTCTAACATGCTTCACATCTCAAAGCGAATGCTGTGCATGGATGTAACATCTCTGTTCATGGATAACATATTCACATGATGCTTCAGGCGCAGCCGTTCGTCCGTAAGCTCTCTGCTTTGCCCGCAGCCTACTGTCTCATGTATTTCATACAAGATTTTTTTTTTTTTTCACATAGTTTCATAAACAAATGATTGCAGTTGCATTAGACGAAAAACAAACCCTACAACGCACGTGCTTTCGTGTAAATGTTGAAATGGCACTTGTTTATTTATGCTTTTTATATATATATATATATATATATATATAACTGCTCTCGTAAACTGCGATTACTTTGCAAATAATAATAATAATAAATGGCCTAACCGTTTTGGGGGGGAAATCATTACTGCACATAGATTAGCTACAATAAAACTATGATAACTTGAACACACACTCTCTATATATATATATATATATATATATATATATATATATATATGACGACAGCTGCGGCTATATGGTGCTCTTTGAGGTCTGCGGGCCTTTAAAACCAGGAAAGGGCCAAATGAGGACGAGCCCTGTGCAACTTAAATTAAAAAGACCTCGATTGTGCCGCTACTTTCAAAATAGGCTTAAGATGTGCACTAGAATAGACTGCCTTGAGCTCATGTGAGCGCTGGTGGCTTTCAGCACCACGGACAGCGACGACAGAGGCTCCTCAATCCACTCTACTGTATTTCATCAGTGTCCGCATTCACATCGCTTTGTACGGAATCAGCTGCCATCACCTCACAGCTGCAGGAACACACACTCTTTTATCCTTTCAGATAGACCATTAAGATTGTGTTTTCTTCCAAGAAATGTCCGAGTATTGTATAAAGGCCAAACCAATAAAATGCAAACGTAATGAATACACCTTGTGTGTCAATTTAAGAGGTGTGTTCTATGGTTTTAATTTTCTGCAAAAATACGGAAAGAATAATTAATTAATCTTATATTTTTAAGAAAATAGTAAAAATGTATTTTATTTCATAATGATAAATTGTGAATTTGTGTGTGTGTGTGTGTGTGTGTGTGTGAGTGTGTGTGTGTTTTCACACCATATGATGATCCGCTAACTAATCACTCTGGCAACTCATACAGTATGAAACGTCATGTTTGCTGTGTATAGTCTAAGTATATACGTTATTTTACCCATAGTTTTGCTTTTGGATTTCTTTCACGTGTGCGTTATATGTGTTTATCTGCTCAAACGTCCAGAAGATCGTTGTTAAAGTCTGAATTGAAATGTCTCTCCATAAGTGATGGTTCCCACAAAAGTCATTCAAGTGATGATAAAAGACTCATCAACAGCAGTGACACACTATTTCCTGGCAAGGGCATATTTAATAACTTAGTGATGCTTCTTTCAACCTCTCAACAGACATAACGTGCATGTGGATTTAGAGAAAGAGAAGGGGTTGGGGGGGGGGGTTGGATCGGTGCATTTTAAACTAGGATCGTGCAGTCGAACCCGGGGTCTCAATATGCTTTATTAACTTACAAGTCACCATACGCCTCTTTGTAATTAAGGTGGACGAGAGAAAAAAAGGTATCATAACACCACAACGGTTTTTTTTTTTTTTTTGGCAAGGACATACAGAGTTCAGTGTAATTGTTGCCTCAGTAATTTTTTTTAGGTTAAAAAAGAAGCACATGCAGCAGTCACATCAGATCAACTGTTCCGTCCCAGCTGTGAAATTTAATCTGAACTTTAGTCGTTTCGATGTCTAAATTAGATCATTTAAAAGCAACGTAAGAGCCGCTAAAAGTGTGGTGACGGTGAAGATAAATGTCCTTACCTCAGTTGTTGAGAGCAGCTCAGGCTGATGAAGTGTGAGTACAGTGGGAGCAGTAGTTCATGTGTTCAGATGGAGGAGCAGCTCGGCTCTGTGGAGGAGACACGCCTCCTGTCGGACGAACACAACTCCCCGCTTAAAGACACAGCTTGCGCTGCGCTATAATTCAAAATAAGTGTTTAATCGATATATACTTGGAATATATCATTTAAAACGTTTATAAAGCAAGGTAACGCTGGATTTAACGTATGCTTTCAGCTGCCATTTCACATTAATCGGAGACGGCAAAAGAAATTATTCTTATTCTCAAAAAGACTTTAAACACAAGAAACGTGAGCCATGTGTTGGAACGGCTGCTATATTAGGCATATAAACAACACTGCGGATGGAATTTAGGTGACTTTAAATTTTATAATACCGAACTGAATTGAGGTATAAAAATAAAGTTAGAGAGTTATTACATTATTATGTATTATAATAACATAAAGATCGTGTTAAACCACAAAGAAAGACTAAACTAAAATATTGCCATAAAACGCTACGATATGCTAAATAAGAAAAATATTAAGTTTTTTTTATTTTATTTTTTTAACCAATGAGATGGGTTCACAAAGGGAATTATGGGAATTCCCTATTTTCCATAAGTTTGAATCATTTTTCTTTATCATTTTAAATATACATTTCATACTTTCATTACAATAAATAAAACATTTAATATGTTCACACTTGTAAAAAAAAATAGACTGCAGCAATTAACATTTTGTCAGAACCTCTGGTACATTACATGCTATTTTGTTTAGTTGTCTGTTCGTAGAGAATAATGTCGTGACTATCAATGTATCCAGAATTTATCCCCCCATCCCCACCACCTTTTTAATATAAATAAGCACCAGTCAAGCTGCGATATCAAATAGGACCACAGGGAGACGCCAAAAGACCACTAGACCTGCTGTCTTGATCTAAGCAGCATCTCTGTCACTGTCGGCAATCGGCATCCTCTCTGACTGACGGAGCGGGCGAGGGCGCAATCATCAAACTTATTTCAAAGGAAGTCAGCGCCACGGTCCTGACCGCATGACTGTCTTTACTGGGTGTTTTTAGGGAATATTTGTATTTTTTACATGCGATTGGATTAGCTATTCATGTGGTGGACTGTCATGATTTTCCTAATGCAGGACACTAATGAATGATGTGCATCAGAGGGGATTTAGAAGTGGGTATACGCAAAGCCGACTGATAAAGAAGGTGTTTCCTAGTTCCTCGCTCCTTGCCTCCCGAGAAGTGTGACAGAAGGACCGACCAAAACAGTAACTTCCGTGTTACCCCTCCGTTTTGTTTTCGTTTTCTCTCAGTGTTTTTTCTTTCCATTGTTCCCATGGATCCCTTCACTCGCCCCGAATTCCTCCTCCTCCTGCTGGAGCAGGGAGACAAAGCTCTCGAGGACCATACCAAACTGTTCCTGTTGGTCGCTAACATCACCAGCTAT